CTGGCTCCCCCCCGGCCGGCTGGACGGCTCGCTGCTAGCCCCTCGGAGGCGGCCCCGCCGGCGGGGATATTAGCCAGCCCGGGGGAGGTTTCCGCTGTGATTGACGCCGCCAGCACCAGAGGGCAAGGAGCCTCCCCCCCTCCCCCGGTGTGTGACATCGCCCCGGTGCGGCCGCTGGGACCCCCGCCCCTGGGAGCCCCGGTCCCGAGCTGCCGTGGGCGGCCCCCGCCTCTGACCTGTGATCCCAGCCACACACTGATGAGACCTGCCCGGGGCGGGGGGGGAAAGGATGGGACATGCTGGTAGGCTTCCTTGGAGCTGAGCCTGAGTCATCACCAGCCATTGCAAAGCCGGCGACGGGGAAATCTTTGGGCACCAAGTTGTGCGAGCGGCAAAGGGCTCCTCCCGCGGCTCCGCCCGGGACGCGGGGCGGGTGACACGGCGCGCGGTGTAAGGAAAGGGGTCTGCAGCGCCCAGCCACCCCGCTGCCTGCGCCTCCCGCTCTTCAGGCTCTTCGGGGCAGGGCGCTAGGCTTCATCCGTCTGTGGGTAGATGGATGGTTACCTCGACAGACGGACGGACGGATGGACGGACGGACAAATGGATGGATGGATGGATGGATGGGGAGACAGACAGATAGATGGTGGATAGGGAGACAGATGGATAGGTAGGTACATGGATGGATGAATGGACAGACAGGTGGATAGATGGTAAGCTAGGCAGACAGACGGACGGTTGGGCGGACAGACAAATAGATGGATGGACGGATGGATGGATAAGTAGATGGATAAATGGACGGACGGACAGACAGATAGATGGATGGACAGGGAGACAGACAGGAAGAGGTGGAGGATTAATCTCTAGGGCAGGAGAGGGAGGTGAGGGACACCCCACAGTAGGGGCTCAGTGGCTCGGGTGAATACACGAGGACTCGCCATGCGAAGCCCACTCCGCAAACACAAGCATGCCCTCGGGGACTGCCCGGAAGCCCCCCTGAGGGAGTTGGTCTGTCAGGTGCAAATCCACCCTGCCTCCTGCTCGATGATGATGAGCACCAAGCCGCCGGGCCAGGCACCAGAAACCGACCCGGCGGAGAGGGGAGAGGGGGTTTCGCGGTCTCCTTCCAGCTGCTGAGGTTGCGGACGGGGCTTTATTGCACCAAGCCCGGGGCAGCTTGTACAGCCTCTAAACTCTAAATCCCCTCGAGGGAATAATGGTCCCAGGGAAAGCCGCGCTGCCACGGGCTCCCTCCACAACAGTGCTGCATGAGGCGCTCGGGGCAAGAGCCCCCTCCCCGCTGCACGGCCCGGCCCGCCTCCCCGCCGGGGGAAGCTGCCCGGGCCGGCCGAGCCCTGCAGCTGCGGGGCCGAGGGACGCAGGAGCCGGGCCCAGGCCGCGGGAGTGGTGCATTGGCCTCCCGCGCAGCTCACGCGCCGGGCTCGGGTGACTGGGGACTGAGCGCGGAGCCAAGCTTGCACCGGGACCGGCCGGAGACAGCCGCTTCGCGCTGGGAGGGACAGAGGCAAGGCGGCAATGGGCCAGAGCCCAGGATCCTCGCTCCTGCTCCCCGCGGGCCCGCACGCAGGGATGGGGCGGCCGCTCCGCCGCGCGCCCAGGAGCCGGGCCGGCTCCTCCAGCTCCTTCTACCTGCGCGCTCCTTTCCGAGGAGGCTTCCTAGTCCCACCAGCCGCCGCACCGGGCAGCTTCCCCGACGGGGCGGGCCTGGGGGAGGAAAGAGACCCGACCCAACCCGGTCCTTTGCTCTTTAAAGACACATTTCACTACTTTAACTCCTTAACATCATCATCATCATCATTATTATCAGCATTCCCTTTGGTTATTGTTATTATTGTAATTCCCTATTGTCATCATCATTAGCATTATCACCATTATTATCATTATTATCATTATCATTATTATTATTGTTCCTTATGGCTATTGCTATTATTTTAATTCCTTATAATCATCACCATCATCATTATTATCACTATTATTATTATATTTCCTTATGGCTATTGCTATTATTTTAATTCCTTATCATCATCACTACCATCATTATTATCACTATTATTATTATAATTCCTTATGGCTATTGCTATTATTTTAATTCCTTATCATCATTACTTACCATCATTATTATCACTATTATTATTATTCCTTGTGGCTATTGCTATTATTTTAATTCCTTATCACACCATTATCATTATTATCACTATTATTATTATTATAATTCCTTATGGCTATTGTTATTATTGTAATTCCTTGTCGTCATCATTATCACTGTTATTAATTCCGCATTGTTATTGTTCTTATTATTTCAATTCCTTGTCATCATCATGTTAATTCCTTATTAGTATTTAACTCATTACTTTAATTCCTTATTATTAGCATTATTATCATCATCATTATTATTTCAATTCCTTATTATTTAGCCCATTCTTTTAATCCCATGTTATTAATGTCATTCGTACTTTAATTCCTTGTCATTATTTGATTCCTTATCATTTTGATTCCGTATTCCCATTGTTTTAATTCCTTCTTGGTAGTGCTATTATTGATTCTTCCCCTGGAAGGCAAAGGCTGCCTGGCCGGAGCAGAGGTGAGGGGAGTGGTGCCCTCTTTGCTCTGCACACGCGGGAGCCCCACTTTTCAAGCACTGCCACTGTCCGCGGCAGCAGCGATGCGGCCAAACCACGGGCCAGCCGAGGCGATCTGTTTCCAAATGTTGTTCAAAACAGATCAGAACTGAGACACCCCCGCCTCCACCTCCGCCTCCCCCAGTCTCATGCCTCCCCCAGTTTTTTAAAGGGGAGGCAAGGCAAGGCGGCGGCATCATTTAGTTCCCTCTCCTTGATTACAAGTGTGGCAAGAGATAAAAGTACGAGCCATGTCTCTCCCCTCGTCCCCCACCTCCTTTCCCGGTCCCTTCTGCCACTTTCTGTAGTGGAAAATGTTTTAGGATCTACCTGCCTCGGCTTTGCTCTCCTTGCTTCTCCTAACCACAGCAGCTGACTTTGGAAGGGAGCTCAGAGAGCAGCTGTTGCCGCTAGCCGGAGGGGAGATGTCAAACCCAGTTGCATGGCCTCAGCTCCGAGCAGCTAGGCTCTTTCACCTCCCTCTCCCCAAGTGCGAGCAGGGCGGCGGCGCTCCGGCCCCTCCGCAGGCACTTCCACTTCCCGAGAGCCGGGCGGCCGCTCGCCTACCCTGCTCGCGCCTTCCCCCAGTGCGAAGGAGACGTAAGACGAGGGGATGGCTAAGCTCTGCCTCTCAGCTTGCATGCAAGCGCCAGGGCAAACGAGGCACACATGGGAGGATGCCCCGTCTGCACAACTGCCGTGGGTTTGGCAGAAATCGTCCGGGATGGGATGTCTGGTGGAAGAAAGCAGCAGCCCGGAGAGCCTGATCTACAACGCCGCAGCAACAGGCAGCAGCGACGGGCGGAGAGCAGCTCCCTCCTGCATCCCCCGGTGAGCCCTTCTCCCTCCAGCACATTGCAAGGGGAGAGGCAGTCTTTCAGTTTAACCCTTCCTTTCTGCACTGCGACTCGGGGAAAAAAATCATCATCATCCACGGGTCGTGTTAAACAACCGCACTTGCCAGCAGGGCACCAGCCTATTTTCACTCCCCCCCATCCCAGAATGGCTGGTGTTCCTGCGAGCTGCTGCCAGCCCGGAGCACACTGAGAGCAGCCGTCGGGCGTGCAGGAGTCAAAGCGATTTTCAGAAAGTGGCGCATCACTTGCATGCTAGGAAAGCATCCGAAACATGGCTGTGCTGAATGAAAACAACGCTCTTGATTACCCAGACGCTGCTTTTATTAATCGGAGCAAGAGGGTGTCTCTGACCACCTGGCTGGGTGGGAGACCTGGACTGCACTCCGACCGATCCTCAAGTGATGGCTGAGACACGACCGCCGCCGCTCTCTCTCAAGGCTGGTTTTCCTTCTTCACCCCATTTTAGAAGATTATATTTCTGGGAGGTTGCAGGCCTCTCGTCATCCCTCTAGAGTCATTAATTTATCCCCTTCATTTCCTATACCTACGAGCTCATCTCTCTGCAGCTCTTTGTGGCATATCGGTGTGGGGTTTTTTTTCCTCTCTCTGTTTCGCTATCTCTATTATATTCACGCTATGTAGAGAATATGGGTACAAATATACGATATAATGGGCATATTGTGTTAGAATGGGATGAGAAAAAGAGAGAGAAAGAGAAAGAGAGAAAGAAAAAGAGAAAGAAAGAACGAAAGAGAGAGAGAGAGAGAAAGGAAAAGAGAAAAAGAAAAGAGAGAGAGAGATCTTGCTATAGAAGTCTCCTGCTACAAGTTTTCAAACTTTAAAGGACGGCAAGGGATCTACGCCTGTGCTATGAACTGTGCTTTTCCTGAACCACCTCAGCAGAAGTCAGCTCTCTTTGGCATTTCCCCCCTGAGAAACATAATCAAAATCGGTGAACCTGTAGGTGTAAGT